CATAACTATTTCTAGATATTAACTATTTTTAATTTTAATATTTTATAATTATTTTATAACTATTTTACAAGTATTTTAAATATACTTGTGCTCCTACAAAGGAAAAGAATTTAAAGAAATCGGAAGGCGAAAAGAAAAATAATTATAAAAGAAAAGGAAAGGATGTGAAGACTATGAAAACTCTAATTCAGAGAATAATTGGTAAAATATAATTAACCCTTTGCACTGGACGACTTTTTCGTTAGAGAAAAATAGTAATTCGAAGACTTTCTGTCATAGAGTCGACGATATTTTTAAAATGGTAAATGAGAAATCATATGGAAATTAAGACGTAGAATTATTTTTCTTCGACATTCCACGCATCGTTAGGTAATTTTAAATTTGCTATATTAATTAACGTCGATCTTTAGCATCTGATTAAATGGTGACTGAGAGTCACCTCTCGAGTGCAAATAATATATAAAAAGATAGGAAATCTGCAAAAAGTGACGATTTAGAATTTTGATTAGGATCCAACGATAAGTGGAACTAGTTGTAATCGAATTAATCGAATTCTTTGGAACGAAATGAATGTGCATCGTTGCTATTAACACCTTCATCTTCTCAATTTTATCCCCTAATGGCGTGTTATTCTGGAACAGCTAATGGCTGGAGTTTAGAACCGGGCAATTTTCGCACAGCGACCAGCAGTGTGACCGCTTGATCTTAGCCATTCAGGTCGATGGAAAGCGTTTGAAGCTGGCACGAATATTAATGGAATCCATAGAGTGCTCGTCGGTTTATAATGAATTTCCCTAATTGCCTCTGGCAGACTTCGCGTTAATGAAATTGAACGTATTTGTCATAGGCAGAGTCTGAATTAAATGCCAAAGGGAAGAGAGTTCTAAACAGACCTGCGTGAATAGAATTGCTGAAGTAACGCGAAACTCTCAGTAGGATCCTTTGAAACTTCCTGATGAAGTGCATTTCTCTAGATTTAATCGAACACCATTCGTTTCCTTCTCTATTTGGCTAACAGATGGCCCCAGCTTAATCTCGCGATCTTCGTGGATGGACACGGTCAATGGATCGTAAATATCTCGTTGATGATGCTAAAATATCAATCTTCATCCCTTTCAAGCGTCTTTCAACCATCACCAACTCGAAAGTTTGAGTCCGAATTGCGATCCACGGATTTATCAGTGGACCACGTGCATAGGAGCCAGATCCATCAGCTCTATCCTACGATCGATTACCATTGTTTTACACGTGTTTCACACTTTTCCACGTGCAGCATCGATGTCAAGGATGATTCTCACGCACACGAGGGCAGCACGTGTGGCCTGCGAAATCCACTCTCAGCGTTTTCTTCGGTTTCGCAATAGGTCACCGTCCCAGCCGCCATGGGGTTCCCCGCGGCAACCGCGAAACTTGTCGCAAAAATCGCACGAAATTGTTTGCCGATGTGCTTTTCACCTGGAAAGGCAAACGTTCGCGTCTCCCGATGAAACGTGTTTATCTTTGCCTCGCGTCTTCGGCCAAGTGCCGACAAGAGTCTCTTCCTCTTGCGAAAACGTTTAGTTTATAGGACGTTCTAGGCGAGAGGTTCGACAAGAATACAGCGAATAATTGCCGCGATAGTGTTTTACATCGACAGACACATGATTCGTGGAAATTAAAATTGATCGAACTCGGGTGGAATCGATGAGATCTCAAAGTGGAGGATCGGAGAAGGGTTTCTGGTTCTGGAAGAAAATTTTCGAACGAGATAAACGAAGGTATTCTGAATTATTTGATTTTCATTCGAATTTTAGAAAGTGAAGGATGAGTTACACAGCGAGTGACGGTAATAGGGAGTTTTGAAATTGAGAATTTAAATAATGACAGAATTGTGATGCTATTAGGGTACAGCTGACAATATCGAGTGTACAAATCGCCGTGCAGACGAGAAATGAAAAAAGCAGAATAATGGTCGAGATGCAACACGACTTTGCTATTATAAAACATAAGCCGATTGCGCAACTTGGATGTACAGCATTTAGATTCTGGCCGAAAGATTATGGCAACCTTCTCTTCTTACAATAGCATCTACCAAACACTTTTGATGGAGAACAACTTTAAGAGGTAGCCCGATATAAATATCAGTCGATAACAGTCAAGCCTGAAATTATTTTCTTCTTGTTCGTGTATGAAATAAATACTCGAGAAATGGGAAGAATAGATAATAAATACATAATAAACCTAATATACGAAGTTTTCCAATTTTCGTTTTTTAAAATTTTGTGGCCCTATAGATTTTACCATTTTTTTGAATATTTTAAAACAGTCGATGACAGTCTAGTCTGAATTATTTTCTTCTCGTTCGTGCGTAAAATAAATACCCTAAAAGTGAAAAGAAGAAATACCTAATAGACCTAATACACAAAATTTTCCGATTTTCATTTTTTAAAATTTTGTGGCCTTATAGATTTTATCATTTTTTTTTAAATATTTTAAAACAGTCGATGACAGTCTAGTCTGAATTATTTTCTTCCCGTTTGTGTATGAAACAAATACTCGAGAAATGGGAAAAATAGATAATAAATACATAATAAACCCAATACACGAAGTTTCCCAATTTTCGTTTTTTGAAATTTTGTGGCCTTATAAATTTTACCATTTTCCTATGTATTTTAAAACAGTCGATGACAGTCAAACCTGAAATTATTTTCTTCTCGTTCGTGTATAAAATAAATATTCGAGAAATAATAATAAGAAATTATTCCATAAACCTAATACTCAAAGTTTACCAATTTAAATTTTGTGGCCTTATAGATTTTACCATTTTCCTATTATAAAAATATTAATTATGCAATGGTCTTTCTAGTATAAAGCTTCTTTGGATTTATTATCTATTTTTAAAGAAACTGGCATCTCCAGACTTAGTATAACCGGTTTAACTGAAACCCGCTTGATGAAAATAAAAGAGATAATACAGACGAATTATGTCTTCTCAATAATCATTATACACAACGAAGAATAATTTAACCTCGGTTTCACAATGGCTACCAGGTGTCTCCATTACGAAAATAATACTCCATTCGCGATATTCGTCCTCAGACTTAATTACAGCGGTGAACAATGTTATTCGGCTAAGTGGCAGGAATTTGAACGAGTTCCAGAAGGCAGAAGAAAGTTCATCCTCCGCGTTATACGGTTTCTTCATTGAGCAATATCCTGATAATGTTGTACACTTACGCGGTGTTGCTGGAGAAGCAACAGAATGTCGGCGAAAGCGGCTCGACAATAAGATAAAGGCCAGATGGATAATTCAAACGATTCTGACGCGCAGCAATCGCCGTTCAGAAGCTTAGCGTGTTATTATTCAACTGGCTACAAATCGTTGAATGTTTGACTTTTGCCGAAGAAGAAATGGCAGAAGCTCAACGCGTCGGGTTTTCCATCAGCAAGGGAAAAATCGTAGACCATTCCACTCTCGACATATTAGCTAAAACTCTCACGAGAGGTCGCTAAGAGTCAGCCATTTTTAAAAGGAACACATAAACGAACTCAACTCTGCAATTTTAAAGATGGAAAAATTTTACGAATTCCACGCAGTGTCAACGCGTTGGGTTTTCTATCAATAAGGGAAAAATCGTGGATCATTCCTCTCTTAACATATTAGCTAAAACTCTCACGAGAGGGCGCGAAGAGTCCGCCATTTTTAAAAGAAATACAAAAATAAACTCAACTCTGCAATTTTAAAGATTGAAAAATTTTTCAAATTTCACACTGCGTCAACGCGTCGAGTTTTCCATCAGCAAAGGAAAACCCTCACGAGAGGTCGCTAAGAGACCGCCATTTTTAAAAGACATACATAAATAACCTCAACTCTGCAATTTTAAAGATTGAAAAATTTTGCGAATTTCACGCAGCGATAGGAAAGAAAGGTACAATAATTACGAGACAGGAGAATAAATTGAGAGTAAGAGAGATCTCGCGTTCTTGCAAGAGACCTCGATAAGTAACTACGGTACTTTTGATCCATCGCCTATCACCGTTACTTTCAGTACACGATATCCAATTTCCCGTTCAATGGAATCGTGCCAAGCATTCGTGGATGGAAGAAAGCGGCTTAATTGAAATTTCCAAGCACCAGATCGTGTCGCGATGGACACTGGGATGTCCTTTGCGCCGCGAGTCGAAGCTCGCGGAAGAAATCTCGCTATTAGATAATTCGTGAGGACGGAGAGGGAGCGAGATGTTGGACGAGCGCAGAAACGACGCCTCGAGTAGTCTTGCGTAACTTGCATCGAACGTAAACATTGCCCGTTACACGATTATTTTAAACGGAGACAAAAAAAGAAACGGCAAGTTTAATCATTAAGGGGACGATAAACATCGATCGTTAGAGGAACAGGTTAACTAGCAACGATTGGGTAATGCTTGTAATTATGGAGACTTAGTTTGGTACTTGGTTTGGTAGAGTGAGTCGTGAAATGTCGAAATCCGGTGGTAAAACACGCCGGCTACTACGAAGAATAAAATGACTGCGACAGAAATCTTCACCCAGGGTTGAAGTTAGTTAAACATCTAATTGTTAATACTTTTCATGGAATTATTATTACAGCGAGTAATTAAATACGTAAAGAAAGTCTTACACTTTTGACACCTATTTGAAACAGTATCGAAAACGTTAAAAAGTTAAATGAAACGAAAGATAAATATCCTACTTTCCTCTAGGTTACTACGCGGACGAGGTGGCAGGGTGCCAAGTCTTCCACGTGTGCCACGATGTCTTGGTCTCCTCCTTTCTCTGCCCCATAGGCTCCGTGTTCAGTCAGAAGCTGCTCACCTGTGACTGGTGGACCAAGGTAGACTGTTCTTCCAGCAGCAAGTACATAGGCGTGAATCGGAACAGCTACCAGCAAGACGACGACGAAATGATTCGAAATGCCTACGCCATGATCAGCCTTCAGTCGGGGACAGACGTGACCAAGGATGGTCTGGTGGATCCCGATCGAACGGGAAGCGTGGTGGATTATCAAAGAGGTCCAGATATCTTGGACTATTCTCCCGTGGACACTTCAGGAAACGACCTGAGGACCAATTTCCAGGACTATCCTAGACCCGCGAATCGAGACTTCCTGCCACCCTATCAGCTGAAAGAACGGAAACCGGAAACCGGTCGAAGTTACCAGGATGCATTCTATCCCGCTGACAAGTCCAGGTCTCCTTACGAAGATTCACCGATAATTCGCGTGCAAAAGATCAATGATCCTGGGTATGGCGATCGTCAGAGGACCAAAGACTTCCAGGAGGCTTACCGAAGGCCTAACGAGTTCACCAATCAGTTCCAACCATCTTATGCACCCACTGTGCCAACTGTCACTACTACGACCAGAAGATTCTACTCTCCAACTGTCCCTACGACCTTCAGACCGTCCACTTTGGCGTATAACAAGCTGGACCAAGTGATAGACAGCTCGGATTATTATTTCTCGCATAGCAGAGCGAGAAGCTTCGTCACTCCACCGACCAAAGTCTTCCCGAGTGGCGACAGTGGCAGACAGGATTTTGGCAGGGACTTGAGAAAGCCTGAACCTTTCAGAAAATCGATCAGAGACGAGGATTATAGCAGACAGGACAGTTACGAGGACGATTATGAAGATTTCGATAGCGAAGAGTCGAGGAGCGAAAGGCCTAAAGAGAGGTTCCAAGTCAGAGTTGCCGATGACTTTAATTTTAATCGGACTGGTGCACTGAACGGGAGAAGTTCCGTGTTCGGTGATATTTACAGAGGATTCGATCGGACCAGGAACGACGAAGACACTGTGGATGACATCGAAACTAGGGGTAGCATCGGTCTGGGTCAGGCGTTGCACCAGTCGCTCAGAGGAATCTCTGTTCACGAACAGGATCCCGTGAAAGACGAAACCAAAGCCGGAGAAAGTAATTCTCGTAAAGAAGGGATTAAGCACACCTTGGTCAGGCCAGAGTCTACGAATTATTCCGGAGAGGAGAAGCAGAACGCGACTGAAAATTACCAAAGACACGATCAAAGAGATACCAAAACGAAGGAAGCAGTTCTGAGAGATGCGGATATTTTCGTGTCAACGACCACTCCATCGGTCGTTGAAAGCACGATAAAAGCTAGCACGAGTCTTCACGAATCCCCGAACAGACAAAGAGATCTGAGAAATACCACCGACACGAGTTCCGAATTTTTAAATGGCAGAGACTCCGTTGAGGCTATAGACAGCGGGTTCCAAACGTTCAGGCCAACTGAAATCCCAGAACCCCCTCAGAAAACGCAAAGCAAATTTCAGATAAACGTGCCAGACCTGTCCGAAGTGTCCACGTTACTGTTTCGTTATTCGACCCTGGGTGATGAAACCTATCAAGAAACAAGAACGACAGAGTTACCAAAGTTCCAGAGCAGTACAGGCGAGTACGTCGATCATACATCCTCTGACGAAAACGCAGGTGTGACTAGTAGTTACGAGGATATTGAGATTTACAAAGGGTCCAATTTCCAAAATTACCCGACTACAGTGGCTAGACCTCTGGTGTCATCCACTCCGTCTTGGTTACCTTCCTCTTCCCGTGATCAGTCGGACGTCGATAACCATCCGAAAGATTATGCCAATGATTTTATCAGAACTGGGGAAGACAGACCTCCCCAGATAGATCGCTTAGATCTTTCCCTCAAGTCTACAAACGACACCGAATTTGCAATAACCAGTAATCGCAACAGTGGTCTACGGTTTGTCACAGACGCAGCTGTTCCTAGCACCAAACCACCTTCTCTACTTATCAGTACCGGTTCCACATCGAATATCGCGAAGACTATATCGCCTGTAGGTTCACTGGATTCCTCGAGAAGCACTTTAGTCGTTAAAACGTTCGAAGATTCCTCGCCACAGCTGTCAAACGAACCTTCGACGCCAGCCTTCGAGGCGAAATCCATCGGTATCGAGTATATCGACTCGACTTCCAGACCTGTCACGCACAGGAGCACAGAAGAATCAAGGGATGTAGGGTCAAGTGGAGTAAGGAAGCCTGGAGGTGAAAAAGACACCGTGGAAGCCTCAACAGCGAACGCTTTGTACAGAACCATCAGGCCAGAGACTCTGAGGCAGATCGAAGAAACCATTGAAAAGAATAACTCTCCTTACCACGTGACGTTGACGATGAGCAAAGACGCACAGTCGGCTACTGGAGTCGACCTAATTAGCCAACTGCTAGCCCAACAGGGCAAGGAAATGTCAACTGTCAACGACGAGGCACACGAACTGGAGATAATCAGGTCTGTGGAGCCAGAAATACAGAGTACAACGAAATTACAGGCGACTACCATGAACATCTTGGACACTGAACATCAGCCTAACCTCGGAGGCAACGTTACCACTGTGGAACGAAGTGATTTCAAGAAGAGGAGCTCGAATATGGTCAGCCTGCTTCACCTGATGTCCGAGTTGCTGAAGCTAGACCGAGTTCCTCGCCCGTTTGCTCTCTCAGAGACGCAGAATCCAGAACCAAGGACTCGGTCAGAGATTCTACACGATATCCTGAGTACCACATCCTCGAGGGCCCTCGCTAAAGCTGTGCACTCGAACATAGAATCCCAGAATGGAGGGACATCCCACTTCCAAGAGACTTCTACGGAGCCAAACTTGAAATCTTCGGCTGCTCGATCGAAAGAGGAGATCCTGGACCAGTTGGCTGACAATCTTGGAGAACCTATTTACAGAGCAGACGGACAACCTGCTTTTGATCTCCGTGGTGAACAGAGATTAGCAGACTTTCAGACTGTAATTCCCCTTAAGAGCACGAGTAACCAGGAAGAATTTAGCAGCGTTCAAACCACCGTGACCACGACTGCTCGACCGAGTTCCAGGGAAATCACCAGGACTACGACGACCACATCTACGCCGAAGATCACGTTCACCACGGAGCCTGAGAAGACCGTGGTGAAGACAGAGTTCGTACCATCGATTGGGTTCTCTTTGGACACCGACGCAGGTAGAGAAGAGTACGTGGAGGCTGTTTTGGGTGGCTTGATAGAGCCGCAGACAGCGGAAAGTGAGAAGAAGGAGACGATTTTGAAGGAGGAACTAGAGGAAGAGACTTTATCGAAGAAGAATGAAACCTCAGGGAAGATTTAAGGATTTTCTAGGGATGAACTTAGGTTTAGAACGAAATCTGTGATGTCCTGCCGTTTCGTGCTTTTTATAGTAGCTTTCTGGCCATTTCTTTCCTTCTTCTTTCACTCGCATTTCCTAATTCTACGATACTTTCTCCTAGATACTGTCAAATTGACGTTCCTTCTTTTCTCCGCCATTTGGTATAATAATTGGAATATCACGACGATTACAGCCCCCGTTACCATTTATATACGTTTTAAGCGAAGAAGTAGCCCCGGTGTATAATTAGTTGCATTAATTTTCTCTAGTGTACCGTCGTTTGTAATTAAAGCAACTAACATAGCGATGAATTACTCGTAAAACTTGTGTAAGGTTTTAAGATAGCGTTAGACGTAACATGTATAGAATAGTAATCGTACTATCGTTGTTAACAAGATCTATTATACGTCATCGGGAAGAAATTTTGTCACTATCCGATTAAAAAGAGAAGTTACTGACGTTTTACTAACCCGATCACCTACCAATGACAAGGAACAGGGTTTCGATAACGAAAACTATATGTAATAGATTCGTAGATGTGTGTGTTATGTATGTGCAACGAGTGTGCAACGAGCAATAGCAATTATACTATTAAACTGTACCTTATGTAACCCAACACCTTAATGATCTTTAAATATATCCGTTCGTTGCGTAAACGAGTTCTCTTATTACCCAAAATGAAATCCTTTTAAATGCGAGAAATGCGAGAAATACTCAAACAGTTTCGAAATTTTTAAATTAATTTTTAATTAATAATTTTTCAATTTTTCAATTCATCGAAATTTCTAAATTTGGCAACCGAGGAAATTAAAATTCCTAGAATTAAAAAATTTCTGTGACAAAAATTGAAATCGAGATATCAAAAAATTGCCTATTTTTCTGCCTTTCCTATATTCACCAATTCCTGTTTATTCGTCATGACAACACCGATATACCGAGCCCCGCAATTCGTACTCGTTTAATCGATTCGCAGTGTAAAGTACCAGGTTCAGGTTAAAGTGCTCGAGTCTCTCTAAAAAGAGCCGGTGGACATCGTGTAATTAAATAATCGATTAATCGCCATTTCTAATGCAGGATCTATCAAGAATCATTAACTAAAAGGAGCCAACGTCGCCATTAAAAATTGTTAACAAATAAAACTTTCTTTGAACTCATCAGAAGCTTCGAGAATTCAGAGATTCAATACGATCCCAGATATTTAATTGGAGAAAATATGGCCGAATCGGAGAGCGAAATTATAAGAACCGACGTCGATGACAATGATGACGATGACCTCGATGACATCACCTTGGCGAGCAGACACTCTGTGCTGCACATGGACTTCCGGTAGCAAATCGAGTTTCGTAAGAAAGTAAAGTAAATCGAATGATAAAAGTGAATCGAACGATGAATTTTTGCAGAATGATGTGGATTCAGAACAGAGTGGTGAAATTTCTCGGGCTATCCGGTCACGAGCTCCTCTTCTACAAACTGCTGAACGTAAATCGCAACTTACGAAGCATAATAGCCGGATGAAAGCAGTGGGGCACCCTCCAGAAATATCTTTCTGTAGCAAATTAACCCCTTGGCTACTGTGAGCGCATATACGCGCTCAGAAATTTTGCTTTTGTGACACGGAAGGCGCATATAAGCGCTCAACACAGTTTGCTTTTCTGACACGGAGGGCGCATCTCTACCCAAAATTTTGCTATTCTCGGCAGACATTGTAAATGAATTCCTACCCGTGTGATACGACCGGTGCGTTTCAAAGTTTACCGTAATCAAAGGGTTAATTCGCAATTCGGGGCACAGAAATTTTCGTTCAGATTTTTCACGCTTTCCCCGAGCTTCGCTTTAATTTTCCCCCATTCCCGGAGAGAGAATAACCGCACGATTCGATACCACAGGCGAACGATCGACACTTCGAGGACAAGCTACTGAACTTTTTGATACTCGATCTGTACGGTGTGACTGATCTAGAGAGAAAGGTGGTGTTTTTCTACTGCACCTACTACACCGAAATCAGCCACGAAGAGGTCCCCGTCTGGGAAAGTAAGTGGTCCACCTTTCTCAAACTAATTACGGCCGAGTCCTATGGATTACTTTATTAATTGAAACGGCTCGAATTACTTTGTACCTAATGAACGGCAGGCAAGCATAACGTCGGTAAATTGGCCGCGCTAACGGCACTGGCGATGAAAGGGAAGAGTCGTAAGTTGATGAGAAACGTTTATAATTGTTTGTACTTCCAGCAATTGCAATCGTTTCCTCTCCTTTGCACCGTGTGGTAGAATTAATTGCGTTTTTAATATCCCAAGTATCTCTGGAAGCATGCCTGCGTGTGCAGTGTACGGTGCAAAAGCTTGCTTTGGGATTGTTAAATATAAATAAATATGAATAATAATTGAATCGATCGATTAATATTAAACGGTATGAGAATTGAAAGATTTTGGAGTTAATTATAAAATTTCATTCGTACCTTCTCGTGACACAATGTAATTATGAATATTCGATATCAGCTGCGAAGATAATTTAATTATTCGGTCGATTTCAGTATTAATATCAACGAATTTTAATATATGCAACTTTGCGACCAACTACGTTCACATACATGGTATACATGGTAAAATGTAAAATATAAAATAATGATTATAAATTTGTTGTATTTTGTAATTTGAACTGTAACGCGTAGGAAAAGTGGAAAAGATGGTAGCGAAGGAGAAGAAGAAGAAGAAGGGTAAGAAAACGAAGGCAAAGATCGCAGATCCTCTTGCTCTCCTTCGTCAGATCGAGGAATCCGTGATGACGCTTCGATCGGAGCAAAAATCGATGAGTGGCGCGAGTGAAGACGAAACGGAGGATGGCGACGACGAGGAAGAAGAGAAAGAAGAGAAAGAAGAGGACGAAGAGGGCGAAGAACGAAAAGAAAGTGGAAGCGGGGATACCATTTCCAAAAAGAAAAGTCAAACAAAAGCTATTGGTAAATCGGAGATAAATTCTCGATACCTTGAAATAAAAATATTCCTAAAAAATTTCGATTTTGTCTCTACGTTTAGAGAGTACCACCTTCGTGCCCCCGCGAGGAGAAGAACATAAGTATATCATGACCAAGGTACCCAATAATACCATATTATCGCTATTTTACCCAAGATTACTTCATTCTAAAGACGTCGAAAATTAAAGAATAAAATAAATTTAGAAATTGGTGGAGAAAGTACGAAAAATACCGATCCTTCACATGATATGCGGAGAAGTAGACGGTAGCAGGACGGATTTACAGGATGTCACTCTATTCTACTTCCTGAGGACCTCCGATGAGGGTGTACCAAACTTCGATTCGTACACAGAGTGTCACGATCAGATTACGAAATACCTAGTGGTTGGATCCTTGCAGGGCAAGTTCCTAGTTTCGTTAAACAGGATATTGGTTCAGGTACGCGTACATCTCTTCGCGTAATTAACAATTAACCCTTTGACTGTCACGCCGAAATCACATGTTTCCCTCAGGACACCACGAGAGTGCACCGCTAGATGCGAGATCTGTTCTAATATCTTTTGATGTTCTAATAAGAATTTTTAATCATCCAATAGGGCACTTTTTGTCTCAAAGTGTCTTCTAATTAGCGGTTATATTCAAAATGCACTAACTGTCAATTTTCATTCAATGTGGTTCAATGCAGTTCGAGTAGTTCAAGCGTCACTAATGACCACCGTGGCGTCACAGGAGAAACCGTGGCCAGTCATATATGACCAAAGTGGCAGTCAAAGTGTTAATAATTAAATATACAATTAAATAATTGTTGTAGTAGAAACTAAATACTAAAATAAACTCTACATCCTAGCGATGTGGGGGTGATACTTTCCCCTGCGTTTTGTCTTTGGTCTCCCATTTTCTGGAAACGTTTTGCGACCTGCGTGGTCCTAAACTGGCCAGTTCTAACCCTTCACCCGTTTAATAAAGATCTATACAGTTTTTCTACCGTTTCCACTGACTACTATTGCTTTACGTTATAACCCCTAAACAATAATTAAATGTAATAATTTTAGATTTAATAATTAAACGTCTTTCCCTTCTTTCTTTCCTGTCAGGTTTTCAAGCCACTGGTCGAGACTCAGTTCAGAGGACCACAGTTTGTAGAGCCACAGAGAGAGGATGACGACGAACTGGAGGATGAGCCGTCGCGTCTAGTCGACATAATGGCGGCTCGAGTACGTATAAATTCTCTTAGCAAAGATGTCGGACTGTACAACGAAGGAGTTACATAATGCTTGACATCCTGGAACAGAGTTCGATCTTCAGGAAACCGTCGGAATTCCGCAGGATATCTATAGTATTGGCGAGGAAGTTGGCTAAGAGGAGTCTCGACTCGGAAGCTGAGGGGAACGAAATGGCGGAACCGGGGTCGTTGATGACGCGGGAAGGAAGCGATATTAGCAGGACGAGGCTGAAACGGAAGGAACGCAAGTCTCCTTCCGTGAATTTCGATGAAAGGAGCAGTAAAGAACCAGTTCCAGACTCCGATATACAAGTGTCGATCAATCAGAGTAGGAACGATATCCTGTCTTATTTGGAGAAACTGATACGCAGTGTGGAATGGTTAGTAATTCGGGACAATTTAATTAATTATCCTGCAATTCGCGTCGCGAGCTAAATTAAATATTTAAGGGAATATTTAATCATTGCTTCTAGAAGAAATCTAGAGATCGTTTGACGATTTTTATCGCAGTCCAGATTAAGTATGGTGGGTTGGACACCAAGTGCATAGTTTGCTCAGACTGCTAGCATTTGAAATGAACTCTCCCATGCACTTTGCAGACCATAACTATTCACCTGCGATGAGCCTACTGTGTCTTGAGTCTTTCGAATCTAGTAGGATAGTTGACGATATTAATTTTCCTTTCAAAATTTTTAATAGCTTAATAAATTGTCCGTAATTTCCTTTGTGTAAACTTCTTTGGCTTATAAATCGTATTTTTCTTGTATTGTGATCCCATAAGTAGAATTACCACTCGAGCAAACGATTATTGTACCATAATAGAATTATTGTACCTTCTGCCATCTCTATTTTAACCCTTTGCATTCGGCGACTTTTTCGGTGCAGAAAAATAATAATTCCAAGACTTTCCGCCATAAAGTCGACGATATTTTTTAAAAGGATAATTAAGAAATGGTATACAAATTAAGGTGTAGAATTATTTTACTTCGACATTCCACGCATCCTTGGGTAATTTTAAATTTATATATTATATTAATTAACGATCTTTAAAATTGGATTAAATGGCAACTGATTGCCTCTCGAGTGTATAGGGTTAAATGTCATAATTAGTTAATAAATTTATTATAAATCCTATACGTTATGTCAAACTAATGAATTTCTTCCAATAAATAAATAAAGAAATATTTAAGAAACCATTTCATCGGTGTTTACCAGGACACTGGAGCACATCGAAGGCGACATTTTGTTAAGAATGCCAAATATACCTGAATTCGATGATCCAGCAGTCACCGACGAGATGCTGGAGAAGAACAAGGAAGTGATCGAGCAACTGGAAGACCTGATTATGTCATGGGGAGTGCATATAGAAAAGGTGAATGAGATTCTTCCCGAAGATACGTAAACTGGAAGCTTCCTTATATAGAGATAGACGGTAAAATCTACATACGTTGTTGTTAAATATACAGGTCCTGGAATCGTACCAAACGAAAGTGCCCCTTGGCAAAGGCCCGCTAGCAGAATGCGACTATTGGAAAGATCGAGAGACGGGCTTGTTAATGTTGGTGGAACAATTGAAAGCTCCTATTGCTAAACGAATACTGACTTTATTGAACAACGTACTTTCTCCTTTCTCCTCCAACTTCGATTACTTCTACTCAGACCTGTGGAAATATTATACCGAGGCTAGGGATAATAATCGGTTCTTGCAAACCCTTCTCAGGCACTTCAAGGTAAGAAACCGTGCTGCAATATCGATTAAAAGATTGACTCGAGAGGAAGAGAACATTTCTCTGATTCGTTCGAGCGAAATATTGTAGTCGATAACGGAGTCGGATTGCTTCAAAACGATCAGTCAAGCCATTACTCCGCTGATGGAGGGAATCAGGATGATCTGGATCCTCTCGAGCTATTACTCCAGCGAGGAAAAAATGGTGGGTCTGATGGAAAGGATTTCGTGGCAGCTCTGTCAAACTGTTATCAAACATTTGTCCATCAACGATCTCTTCAAGTGAGTCCCTTCGAATAATTATTTTCTCAAAAGCACGAACGCGTGTTATTTATATAAATATTTTAGTCTCCACTGTGCCAAAATTAGGTAAAAATTGGAATAACGTAGAAATAACACGGAAATCGTGTAATAAATTGTATCCCTGATGCAGGAAGCCTTTGCAAGAAATTTTAACACAGACGGAAGAGGCTCACAGGATGCTGAAGAGCTGGAAAGAGTCCTATTTGAAGAACCGCGAAGACATCGAGATCTCTGGCAAAGGATCGCGTTGGGAATTCGATCAGAAGCGATTATTTCAAGGAACCGAGTACATTGCCTCTGTCTGCGATGGTTTGAATCAAGTTGCCAACGTTCTTCAAGACTTCCACAACATTTTCGGGCCCGATCTGAAATCCATCATCAGCGACCCGGCTCAGATCGACACCATAATAAAAAGGGTCGACAGACTGGTTGTTCTGATCTTGGAGGCAGATTTCAACATCTTCGAGGAATTTAACAAGGAAAATTGGGAAGCCACCATGTCCCTGTTTTACGACGAGGTGTATTTTTTGGAGAACGAGGCTAAGTTCTTCATCGACGAGTGCTTTATGGTACTGATAAATGCAGAGAACGCGCTAGAAATGTTGCTGAAGCTGAAGAACACGAAAACCAGAGCCACGCTACATGATCAGCTTATGAGAAAATTCGACGTCATTATGCAACAGTTTAGCAAGGAAATCAGTACCGTTGAAGGGATATTCAATAGAGGTAAAACACTCGTTCGTGCTTCACAAAAGTCTTCTTAATTTAATTATTTCACTGTTATTATGCTATTACTATACATACATTTTAGAATAGAAACTTTTTGAGAAATCTTAAATTTAAGTGTCAAAGCACTTGGTATAGTCATAACTTCTTATATTTAAGATTTTTTAAAAAATGGAGTTAACCGATTTGTGCAGTGAACGGCTCATTGTCAAATTAATCGTTAATATGTAACAATGATAAATTAATTTTAGGAAAACGAAATCCTCCGTTATTGACGTATCATCCCTCAATGGCCGGCGCCATATACTGGGTGAGGCAATTATTCCACCGCCTGAGAAGGCCAGTCTTGACCCTGCAGAACGTCCCCGAATTGAAACACAGCAAGATAAAGATCCTAGCCTTCAGTCAGTACTACGAGATATCCAAACAGATGAAAGCGTTCGAGGAATCAAAGTTCCAATCTTGGGCAGACAAGGCCCAATTCATCGTGATAAACACCATGAAGAGGAGCATCTTGAAGATGGTACGCTCCGATCCAGACAAAGGTTAACAACCCTATTTCCTTATTTCCCAATAAATAAATCACGAATAAATCCTCAAGTCGCGAAAAGACGAATTTTCTTCTAGGAAAATTAACTTTCCCGGACACCGAGAAGTTAACCAGCACGAAGAATCTTCAGACGATTCACGTGTCGAAGAGAACGAAGAGCAGAGACTTTGCATCACCTGGATCAACTCCACAGGGATCTGTTCAGAAACCTGAACCGGAAACGTCGAAACCGAGCATAGGTGAGATCACGTTTTCGATTGTGCATGTGTTTAATCTGAATTTGGAAGTCGTTTGCGGAATACTTTGGCAGAAACTGGCAGTTCTGGAGGAACCAAGGGTCATGTCAGGTCAGACACGCGGGCTGAGATCAAAGGCTCTCTAGCTTCTCACAGAGATCAGAAGTCGTGGACCTCGACTTCGGAGAAACAAGGTATTCACGGAACAAAGATCACTTGGACGGAATTCATGAGTGGCTCGATCCTGGTCGAGTGTCAGCTTCGGTTCCAAGTGAATTTCGACTGGACCGTCTTCGAAATTATTCACGAGGTTCGTCTACCTTACCAAAATTATTTGCTCCGGATATAAAGAATTTTAGAGTTACATTCGATGCTTCCAACATGCTTTAAACGTAACTCGATGCTTCGTGCTCTGCCTATTCAGGCTGAGTTGATGGAGCAATTAGGGTTCGAATTGTCCCATGTAGTGAAGGATGCAAGTATACAGAAAAATCGACTGAGAAACGATCTCGAGGTAATGGAAAGAGTGATCGATCAGTATAACGGGATGATCGAGAAAATGGACAAACCTGACGTAAGGAATGACGTAAAAGACTAGTTTTCCTTTGACAATTAAATAGTAAATTCGCGGAACAATTATTTCTTCGTTTTGACAGATACAATTGATGAGGAATATGCTGTTGGAAGTCGAGAAGCATATTCAGCCTGGAGTAATGCGTTTCAATTGGAACTCCTTGAATATTTCTGATTACGCCCACCATTGTGACAAATTATTAAAAAATCTGAGCTCAATGATGGATCAGGTGAACCACATGAAACGTGATCTCGACAGTAGAATAAATAATCTTCGGAGTTATTACCTGTTTTCTCTTCCCTTGGAATTGTACGAAGAGGAAGCACTGATGCCTTGCAAGGTTTGTATTGTATTTGTTCCTGTTTTATTATTCTGTGTTCTTCAGAAGTACTTTCAGTAGTACTCAAAAACGACGTTGTCTTGAGTTACTCTTCTATCATATTTACTTTGATATTAAATTGGTCTCGTATTCCTTAAAAAATATCTCTCTTTCTCTGTATCCAATTCTATTCGCTGTCAAGTACTTCAGCAGACAAGAAATAAATGAGGAAGCTGCACTGTCATTATTTCTCCCATTAAACGATCGTTTCTGAATATTTTCCAAAGACCTATTTCCAAGAGATACAGAATCGAAGAATCGAATTAATCACCGTGATGTCAACGATATACCAATCAACGGGCCCAGTGCTGATTAAATTGGAAAGTCTGGTACTAGCAACGTACACCGGGAGAAGTCCAGCCATGCAGCTGCTCTACGACAAATATGAGAAGAAAATATTCTCCGCTTTCATAACGTGAGTCTCTCTAACCCCGCATGTCGATTACTTAATTTGAAACGACTTCGTTTGAAAAACGAATTACGTACAGATGCATGATCAAGAACCTTGAGTGCTTCAACAGAACTCTAATGGAATTCAAGCCGATCTTTCAAGTGGATGCTGTGTTAATAGCCTCCGAGGTTGTTCTCCGGCCGTCCCCTGGAGAAATTTACAATATCATCTTGCAGAACGTGAAGAATTTGTTAGAAGAACTGAAACTATTCCCCAGGTGGATGAATGGGACTTGCTTGGAGTGCAAGCCGCAAATAAAGAACGGCGAGAGCTACGCGACCTTCACATTCTTCGAGGACGTCATGAGCATTCAGGTGAATTATTTGTAAATTGCCCTCGAGTGAAAATAGGAATTTCGTAAAATCAAATTGGAGAAATTATGAATCGTGTCGAGAGAAATTGGAGTAAATAAAAATCTGAGATAAAAATAAACGAAACACTATGGTAATAGTTACTTATAGTGACAGTCGCGATATTGACAGAGCTCAAAGGAAAATTTAATTTCGAGGGATTACTATAAAATTGAAAATTATTCCGAATTTTTGTTACCCATTATGAATCGTGTCGAGTGAAACTGGAATAAATAAAAATTTGAGATAAAAATGAACGAAACACTATGGTAATAGTTACTTATGGTGACAGTCGCGATATTGACAGAGCTCAAAGGAAAATTTAATTTCGAGGGATTACTATAAAATTGAAAATTATTCCGAATTTTTGTTACCCATTATGAATCGTGTCGAGTGAAACTGGAATAAATAAAAATTTGAGATAAAAATGAACGAAACACTATGGTAATAGTTACTTATGGTGACAGTCGCGATATTGACAGAGCTCGAAGGAAAATTTAATTTCGAGGGATTACTATAAAATTGAAAATTATTCCGAATTTTTGTTACCCATATGAAGTGCATAATTTTGTCAATACGTCTGCGTAGGTAGTGAATGATAATATACTAATGGTTCAAAGGTCGGCGCATAAAATAGCGTTAGAAGCCTGGCACTATCTGCACAGGTGGAAGAAGTATAGCAATCTCTGGTCGTTCGACAAGAACCTGGCCGCTGAAAAGTACGCAGCGACCGAACCAACCCTTTTCCAGTACGACGAGAAGTTCGCTTTCTACGACAACATTCTCGAGGAACTGCGTGATATGGAGCTCTATTACGATCTCTATTGCGTACGGTAACGTCTGCTTCCTAGAATCTTCCGATATTCAAGAAATCCAAACACGAATTCAGACATCTCGTTTTAAAGCCGAAGAGCTTAAAGCTCGAGAACTTAAATTCCAGTTTATTTCAGGAATTCGATTCCTTCGGAGACCACAAAGAATTCCCGGTAATGGTATTCCCAGTAAGTCTTTATTTGTGTTACAAACTCACAAGCGAACATTGCGGCTAAGTACGTGGCAGGTCTTTGAATAATATGACACCGAACTGACAACTAGAGGAAGAATCCCTCATTTTGGGATGATGGGCAATATCTAATATCCGAATTAGGAAGTAAACAAAGATTGTCTATGATTAGATCAAAGGTTAAGACAGGATGATGAATAATGAACCCAGGTCAGGGTTCGAGTTAGCAATAGGACGATAAGTACGAGTGAGTGACAAAAAGGGATAGTTAGCAGGTCTGAGGTTTATCTAAAGTACACAGGCATCTAACACTAAAAAATCTAGAAATATCAGAATCAGATCTTTGAATAATATGACACCAAACTGACTAGTAGAGGAAGAATCCCTCATTTTGGGATGGTGGACAATATCTAATATCCGAATTAGGAAATAAACAAAGATTGTCTATGATTAGATCAAAGGTTAAGACAGGATGATGCATAATGAACCCAGGTCAAGGTTCGAGTTAGCAATAGGACGATAAGTACGAATGAGTGATAAAAAGGGACAGTTAGCAGGTCTGAGGTTTATCTAAAGTACACAGGCATTTAGTCTTCTAACACTAGAAAATCTAGAAATAGGAATACCTCTAACAAGCAGACCACAACTCAAACTGGTGTCAATAAAACGTCCAATAATTTCTTGCAATTAGCATCAACCTGCACGTCCTGCTCTCCGGCATCAGACAACACGCCAAAGAGTGGAAACAGGTCCTCGGAAATTTCCTCCTCTTCCAAACCGTCCACGGAATGCACGATTTACACCTGATGATCGAGGATTTCCGAAGCGAGGTCGAGCTCGTGATCACTGGCTTGGACCGTTTTACATCTGTCATGCAGGCGATCTCCGATATAAAGAAGACAGCGATTCAAGTGGAGGTTCGCTACACCACCTATCAGGTATCATACACTATCCTCGAGGTCTTTGAAAATCGATCGAAAGGCCACGAATTTTCTCTAACTTCGGGACGATGCGATGAATTCGCAGGAAACCTTCCGAACTTTCCGCAGTCATGGCATATCCTTCCCCGAGGAAGACGAACAAACGGCGTACGCCCTGCAGCGTGACTGGGAGTCCCTGTATTTGGGGGCTTTGTACAGAGCTTCGACTCTGGAGAGCACCTCTGACAGATTTTCCGACATGACCCAAGAGCAGATAAACGCGTTCGTGTTAGAACTCGAGGCGTTCGCTGCAGACTTCGAGGCCAATGGCCCTGGCAGCGTTGGCGAGGATCTTGAACTTGGGCTGCTAAAGATGGACGTGAGTTTGGTGCTGTTCATTCGATCATACAGACTTCTTGCAGGCCATGGTATTTTTATCGCGATTTTACATTTGGAAACCGATACCTTGAAATTTGATTCACGACTGTGAGTAGGTTAGGCATATAATTGGTTACCAAAAGTAGATCGCGAGTAAGTATGTACTTTATTCATACCTAACACTGGTCCACAAGAGGTATTAATCCTTTGCACTCCGAATTATTTTTATAAATAAGATAATTCGTCCTGAACGAAATTTAAAGCGCAATTCGAAGTCAACTACCACGTCTCTGACCTGTGTGCATAGTCCCTAACATAGATTCTAAAAATTCCTGGACTCCTGCGAAGGATTGACACCTTCCAGAGTCAACTGCTATGTCTGACCTGTGTCCATAGTCCCTAACATAAACGCGTGCAAAATTCTAAAAATGACTGGATTCCTGCAAAGGATTGACACCTTTAAAGTCAACTACTATGTCTGTGACCTGTGTCCATAGTTCCTAACATAGATTCTAAAAATGCCTGGACTTCTGCCAAGGATTGACACCATTTAGGCACATAATCTCGAATTACACGCTTCCATTTTTCCTCCAACCTCACAAGGCTTCTGTTTCTCCAGGAATACGTGAAGCTGATCGGGAAACTCGAGGAAAGGCGTCGTGCTCTGCTGAATTCCGAGATACTGTTCGATCTTCCAGCGACCGATTATTCCGTTTTCCTGAAAGTCAAGAAGGACTACGAGGGTATGGAACTGCTGTACCACTTGTACAAGGAACAGAGAGGCATGAGAGAAATATGGGCTCAGACGCTCTGGGTGAACCTGAATCCTCAGCAGCTGATCGACGGAATGGACCACTTTATCAGGCAATTCCGCAAACTTCCGAAGTTCGTGAAGGAACTCGGTGTTGGGCAAGCTTTGGACGCGAACATGAAGAGCTTCAAGAATTCTGTGCCGCTGTTTATCGAGCTGAAGAACGAGGCAATGAGGGAGAGACACTGGAAGCAATTGATGGACAAAACTGGACGTTACTTCGATATGGACCCAGACAGGTGCGACGATAGTGAAAAATAAATAGGAGAAATGTGGGTAGACAAGTGTACGCTCGTGTGAAGTATCTGTGATGTCTTTGATGTGCATATCTGTGTCTTTTGGTGTTTCTAGAAACATTTAGGGACTAGGAAGATTTATATTTAGTAAATTATTCTTTAAGATTAAATTAGGATCCATGTAATAATTATACACACTTTGGATATTGTGGTATTACAACTGTAGTATCACAAGTATTATCCTGAAACTTGTATATTTAAAAAGCATAAAAAGACACTTAATTTTCTTTCTTTTTTTTGCAGAATTTTTATTTTACTAACTATTCATAATAACTCGTATCAAAAGACTCTTTGTAATCCTCGATAAAATATATATGTGAATTTTTTAAAAGATGGGGGAACAGGAGATAGAAATCCTGAAAGGGTGAGTCGATCTTCGTTCATTTTTCGATGAAAAACCCTGTTCGATTACGTCTCTCGTAATTTGGTGAAAATAAAAGGTTCAATTTGAAATGTCAATTTTTAAGGTTCACCCTGGAGAACATGTTCGCCATGGAGTTAGGAAAATACCAAGAAATAGCCAGAGAAATTGTGATGAACGCCGTAAAGGAACTCGCCATAGAAAGAGGCCTAAAAGAGTTGGCTGAAGTCTGGAAAAACTTGGAATTCACTGTTGTGAAACATTACAAAGGTCCATATTTATTTTCAGTACTATACCAGTGTACAGAAAATACCATAGAACAATTTTCAAAAAAATTTTTTAATTTTCTTCTTCAATTTTAATTTTTCTTTAGAAAGAAAGAAGTAAAAATTACAAAACACAATTTTCTAATTATCTAAATAATCAAATCTCCTTTTAAGCTCAATGGAAACGAAAAGATTAAAGCTAAGTAAAACGAAACGAGGTGTTTGGTTTGCAGGTACCGACGATCGTGGATTCATTCTGGGACCAACGGACGAGCTGAATCAGGTTCTAGAGGATAACATGATGAACGTGAGCGGTATGGCCGCCTCGCAATTCATCGGTCCTTTCCTCGACACGGTGCAAAAATGGGAGGTCACGATGCACACGATCTCCGAGGTTCTGGAATTATGGATGCAACTTCAAAAGAAATGGCTCTACCTCGAGGGCATTTTCGTAGGTGGCGACATAAGGCTTCAATTGCCGGATGAAGCGAAGAAGTTCGACGAAATCGACAAGTCCTTCAGGAAGATCATGATCGACACGTCCAAAAGACTGAATGTTCTCGAGTGTTGCACGATTAAAGGTAAAATGAAGTAGCTCTAACTACAATCCAATAATGCTACCCATCTTTGACAGAACTGGGACTCTAACTAGACGTTTCAATCATCCAACTAACTCCGTGTAAAAAGTCCAGAAAATACAAAATTTTCTGACAGTTAGATATCGAATAATTTTATCCGATGTAAGAATTCGATTCCACTTTGCCAAATCGAGAATAATCTCTCAGAAGTGAGTTCGAATCGATGAAATTCGTGGTCTAGGTCGACAGGAAGAGTTCGAATCGATGATCTACGGACTGGACAAGTGCCAGAAGTCTCTGACAGACTACTTAAACAGCAAACGAGCAGTTTTCCCGCGGTTCACTTTCCTCAGCGACGACGAATTGCTGAGCATCCTTGGCAGCGGTTTGCCCTCCGCCATTCAGGAACACGTTGGAAAGATGTTCGACAATTTGGAGAAATTCCGCTTCGAGTTTAACAACACCCAACGAGTGGTAGCCACGGCGTTGATCTCCTGCGAGGAGGAGGTGATGGATTTCAGAAACGTGGTTCTAGCCGAGGGTAAAATCGAGGAATGGATGGTGCTAGCTTTGGAAGAGATGAAGAGGTCGAATCGATACCTTACGAAAAAGGCTGTCTACAATTATGGCAAGGTGGGTTCAGGGTTCGTCGAATCCGGGTACTTGGAGCTAGTCGCTAATCGGTTGAATGGAATTCCTCAGGTTAGGAGACCAAGGACAGAGTGGATGCTAGATTTCCAAGGAATGATGATCCTGGCAGCTGATCAAATATGGTGGACTGCAGAGGTGGAGAACGTGTTCGTGAAAATTTCTCAGGGGCAAATGCGTGCCATGAAAGATGTACGTTTATTACTCAAAGCTCGATAAACAGCCTTTGCCAAAAATGATATAGATTAAAAGTAGATGATAGGAATCGATGATTTTTTAGCGTTTCTGGTGTCAAATTAAAAATGTCACCTGTACCATTTTGCTTTTAATCCTTTTAATCGGGTAATTTCATCATATAGATGACTCTAAAAAATCTTTCTGTCTTAGAAAATATCGATAGTTTCTTAGCTTTTCTGCTAAAAATGTCACCTATGCCATTTTGCTTTTAACTCTTTTAATCGAGTAATTCTTTCGTAAAAATGACTCTGGAAAATCAACCACCTCGTTTTCAGTATTTGAAACAACTGAATAATCAATTAAACGAAGTGGTGACACTGATGGGTGGCGATACATTGACGAACAATGACAGAAAGAAGCTCGACATGTTATTAACGATCGACGTTCACATGAGAGACATCGTCGAAGGTTTTGTCAGAGACAGTATCATGGATCCCTCAGAATTCGAGTGGGAAAGCCAATTAAGGTTCCTCCTTTTCCATCCTTATTAAATGCTAATTACTTTATCTACTATCTATGCAAATTTCGTTCACTGGTTATCGCAAATTTTTATCCGTTCCACTCGTAAGTTAAATCACGTTGCGAAATAGCCCCCGAAGATAAGATAAGTCGCTCTTCCCACGCCAAATAAATGGCTTTCCCTTTCGCGTGCGAACTGAAGGTAATAAAAAAAAAAAAGAAAAAAAACGAAAATAAGAATAAAGAAAAGATTGAAAACGTACCGAGAACGTTGTTTCATACTTAAATGCAAATTTCCCGCGAAGGTTCTACTGGGTTCACGACCTGGACAATGTTTGGATGTATCAGTGCACGGGAACGTTCGAATATGGGTATGAGTACATGGGACTTAATGGGAGGCTCGTTGTTACGCCTTTGACGGATAGAATATACCTGACTATTACACAAGCCCTCTCGATGCACCTGGGCGGTGCCCCAGCAGGTATAGTATTCTCGTGAAAGAGCATCTAAATTATCTTAGGATACCCTGAATCCTCTTAAACTTGCGAAATGTCACGTGGAATTATTTAGAAATTTCTACGACCTCGATGGACGTTGGCAATTATTTTTCAAGGATTATGCTCTTTTCCAAATTCCACAAGGTCCCGCTGGAACGGGGAAAACAGAAACCACGAAGGACTTGGCAAAAGCCTTGGGACTCTTGTGCATCGTCACTAATTGCGGCGAAGGGATGGATTACGTGGCGATAGGGAAGACACTGAGTGGTCTGGCACAGTGTGGAGTATGGGGTTGCTTCGACGAATTTAATCGTATCGACATTTCCGTGCTATCCGTCATCTCCACCCAGCTTCAAACTATACGCTCTGCTCTGATGGCGAAAGCCAGTCGATTCTTGGTAAAAACGTGTTAAACGTTCTAAAAGATCCGAGTTCCTATTCTTTGTCTATATACCTAATTATAGAGGTATGAAATTGTCACGTAAAATTATAGAATTGCTAGACGACTTTGGCTAATTATATTCGTCGTCTCTACATTTGCATCTAACTACGATTTCAGTTCGAGGGTCAAGACATAGTACTCGATTCGAAAGTGGGCATATTCATTACGATGAATCCGGGATACGCGGGTCGAACGGAACTTCCGGAATCGGTGAAAGCGCTCTTCAGGCCAGTGGTGTGCATAGTTCCGGATAACGAGCTGATTTGTCAGATAAAGCTCTTCAGCTCCGGCTTCTTGACCGCCAAGGTTCTGGCCAAAAAGATGACGGTCCTGTACAAATTGGCACGCGAACAACTGAGCAAGCAGAACCACTACGACTTCGGTTTGAGAGCACTCAAGTCCGTGCTCAATATGGCAGGCCATCTGAAGAGGACTTCCGGCGACCTGCCTGAGGACGTGGTACTCATGAGGGCGCTACGAGACATGAATCTGCCGAAATTTATTTTCGACGACGTCCCATTGTTCTTGGGTCTCATCGCCGACTTGTTCCCGGACCTAGACTGTCCGAGGGTTCATTATCCTGATTTCAACGAAGCTGTCAATCAAGTATTGGAGGACCAACGGTATATCGCGTTGCCTGAACAGGTAGGGTACTTTTATAGTTGAACGTAGACAGAGATGAAATTTTTATTTATAACGATCTCTCACGAACGATTCCCTTCGTAACTTCGTGATCGACAGATCGACAAAGTGATCCAATTGTACGAAGTGATGATGACCAGACATTCGACCATGGTGGTTGGCCCGACAGGGGGTGGGAAGACCGTCGTGATCGACACCCTCTGCAAAGCTCAAACTCGCCTCAACATGCCTACCAAACTCTTCACGTTGAACCCAAAGGTACTCTCCTACGGGATTAAAGTCACGATGGAATAACGATGATAAATAAATTCCCATTCAGGCATGCACGGTGAATGAACTTTATGGCGTACTGGACCCAATGACTCGCGATTGGACAGACGGTCTCCTCAGTAATATCTTTCGAGAAGTGAACAGACCACTGGACTCGAACAAGAACGAGAAAAGGTACATCCTGTTCGACGGTGATGTGGATCCACAATGGATCGAGAATATGAATTCCGTGATGGACGACAACAAGCTACTGACCCTAGCTAACCAAGAAAGGATCAAGATGCAGAATCATTGCAGTCTATTGTTCGAGGTGAGACTCTGACTATGTTAATCGAAAATCACCTAGAAATTCCTAATACAGAAGGACTAATTGCCATGAAATCGATAGGAAAATACCTCGAGCTTGAACCGATCCCGAAGATCTCGGAACTGGTTAGCCACCCAGATAAACACGATTTTTATCTATGTTTTTCATAAAAGGTAGGCGACCTGCGGTACGCCTCGCCCGCCACGGTGTCTAGAGCTGGCATGGTGTACGTGGATCCAAAGAACCTGGGCTACCAGCCATACATGGACAAGTGGATACGGGGCAAGAGCGAATCGGACCAGGAGACATTGAGCGGAATGTGCGAGAAATACGTGCACGGCGCGATCATGCTCATTATAGAAGGAATGCTTGGGCTGCAGCAAGTCAAACCGCTTAAGATGATCATACCGCAAACCGGCCTGAACATGGTAACAATTAGACCTTTATACGCTAATTAGCCTAGCCTTTCGTGGCAGTCGAAAATGTCGCAGAAGAAAGCCGTGATCTGGTTGCTTTTTCCGATTTATCGAGTTATTATACCTCGATTTTAATAGCTAACGAGTGTCCCATAAGAATGTTTGAAATATGCAATAATCGAAATATGAATCTCTTTATTATCTCGTTGCTAGTGTAGAAATTGGACGGTGGTAATGTTTATTGTTATAACGTTAAATTAACAATAATATAAGAATGTGCGAATGACAATAAAGATACGAATTATTCCTCGAGTTTATAATGACTCTAGGCTTACTACAACGCTCAAAGAGATATCACAATACTCTAACTCCGTCTAACTTTGAATCTTAATCTCGATCTCAACTTCAAAACTCGACTCAACTGTCTCAAACTGCCTCAAACTCGATAATAACTGACATCTGATCCTTCTTGTCCTACTTTATATTTCTTCCTCACCATGCACACGCTTTCCTTAAATGCTTCCCTTAAACATGGCCAAACATGGACATGTCCTAAGGGCCTGATACATCGTCCAGAATTTTCCCCAGCTGACCTGGACACTGCATTATCGACCCTTGCTCCCTCGTAACCTTCGTAAGGCTAAGTGTACATGGTGGAAGATGTGCAATACTACACTAGTTAGTGATTAATAAGGGTTTCTTGTTTAGGTAGTGCAACTTTGTTACGTGTTCGATGGTCTCCTCACGGTCCTGGACGCTGAAGCAAACTCTGTTACCAAAACCGAGGAAGACGAAGAAGCAAAAGCAGAGCCATTATTCTCCAGAGAGGAAATTCTCGAAGCGATGTACATTCAAGCTTGCTACTGGTCCTTGGGAGCCTCTCTGGTCATCGAGAACAGACCTAATTTCGACGATTACATCAAAAGAACTTCCGGATTTATGCTTGTCCAGGACACTGCCGAAAAGCCAGCTACTGTGCGTAAGTTTCAGAAAGTACGAATATTTTTATTCCCATAAATCAAGAGTTTTATTATCCGATTATCCTAGATAGCTATAAAACGAACGATTTCACGAATTATCGACAGGGTACATTCCCGTGACGGAGAAATTGTTGTACGACTATTTCCTGGACTTACGGAAGAACATCTGGGTCCCATGGATGTCCCTGGTCCCTGATTACATCCACGACAGACAGAAAAATTTTTCCGACATTTTGGTCCCCACCATAGACACTCTGAGAACCACGTGGTTCATCGAAATGATGAACGAACGGAACAGACCGGCTCTTCTAGTCGGCGAAACTGGTACTTCGAAGACCGCAGTCATTCACGAGTTTCTTCGAAACTTGAGCTCCGAGAGATACGTAAGTTCGAATACGAATATAAAAGTGAATAATTCTCTCGTATATTTCCTCGACGTGTCATTTCGCTGATTAACATGTTAACTAGAATCAACTTCTGATCAATTTCTCGTCAAGAACCACTTCGATGGACGTACAGAGGAACATAGAGGCTGTCGTGGAGAAGAGAACGAGGGAAATTTATGGGCCACCACCTGGTAAAAAGCTGTTACTCTTCATCGACGACATGAATATGCCAATAGTGGACACCTATGGCACCCAGCAGCCTATCGCTCTTCTCAAGTTCTTATTCGAGAAGGGTGGGTTTTACGATCGTGGAAAGGATCTCTCATTGATGTACATGCACGACATGTGTAAGTTCAATTGGAGATTTCTTTAAATTATACTAACTCTCGTGAGAGTATTTAAGAGTATGCGAGCTCCGATTAATATAAGGCGACGTGAGCGACGAGCACGTATCACTGATAATCGAAGTCTCAAAACGAAATGGCGATCCGCTTGATCTACGCGGCGGATGAACAAAGGAGGCCTACCTTTAAACCTTTCGCTTCGGCAGTTCAGTCTGCCGAAGTACCGTCACTGAACGGAGAGCCCTAGAAATATGCACAGTACGTGTGGTTTCTGTATATACGTTTTCCTAAGTCTTAACACGTTGAGTGTTACGTCTTTAGTAGACTTTTCGTTTGGACAGCGTGGATTCTGGGGACTGACAGCGAATTTTTCGTTTGCTCGACATCCGTATATGAGACCAATCGGCCATCGAGTTATAGGCTCATTTTAACCCAGCCCTCTCTCCTCATCCCCCTACACTCTTTCTAAGAACAATCTAGTCTGTAGCGACCATCATTCACACCCTCGTCACTAGATGGATTTCAACTTCGAGGGCTTTCTCGCAACACCTATGTTCGTCCAATTCTACTATTCCCCAATTCCTATATATATAACTTCTCGACCTTCCAATAGTATCCCAGGCGTCTAAGGCAGGGCCTTAAAGTAGCCTTAATGATGAGTGTACTAGCAAGCTCGGGACGAAAAGCATCTTTTCCTTTTCCTACCGTCCCTTCTAGAACTACCCCCACATCGAGTATCCTACGACCAGTCGACTTCAAGAACGTGGGGGAGGACCCCTTACAAGTCTGACTAAAAATGACGCTAAAATTTTTGTTTTATATAATATTCGATTATTTCCTAGGTTATCTGGCAGCAATGGGAAAGCCTGGTGGTGGAAGGAACGAAGTGGATCCAAGGTTCACCTCCATGTTTTCCGTCTACAACGTCGTATTTCCGGCAGACGAGACTCTAAATTATATCTACACGAGCATACTTAGTGGACACCTGCAGATATTTTCAGAGGAAGTGCAAGCTATCGCGACAACCTTGATAGACATTACTTTGAATCTCTACAAGGTATTCCTCTCATAATTTATCCTCTATTCTATTTAGAATAATATCTTCCAGCCTGAGAAAAATTGTTGTCTCTTCAGAAAGTTACTGCAGAATTGTTACCAACGCCGAATAGGTTCCATTACATTTTCAACATGCGAGATTTGTCGAGAATTACTGCCGGACTCCTTCAGAGCCACCCTGACTATCTGCCGAAAGTGAAACAGATAGTCAGACTTTGGAGAAACGAATTTACCAGGATCATATGCGATCGATTGATAAACGAGGAAGTGAGTACTCGGGAAAGAGGGTAATCTGTGAGTCTATGGAAGATTTTCTCATAGGATACGAAAATCGTAGCTGGACATATACAGGAAATAGTCCAAGAACAGTGGGAAGAGGACCCTGGGGTGATAGAATATACAATGAGGGACCCCCTGCTGTTTGGTGATTTTAGAAATGCGATTAACGAGGAGGAACCACGATTCTACGAGGATTTATTGGATTACGAGGCTGTCTACAGCTTGTTCTTAGAGGTGATTAATATTTCTTAATGGGAAACGAAGATCTCGGTTATTTAGAGCCAGTCGGTCGCCCCGGATGGGAACGTGTTAATTATTGGCTGCGTTTCAAACAAGCTTCGATTCGAAAATGACAAATAACGCTTCATAAAAAAGATTCCAGAAATAAGAAATAAAATATTAACAAACGAATAAATGATCTGTGCTAAAAATACGAAATATCAGTGGTCCAGAGTCCCTGGACTTTGCGTCTTCAAATTAAGAATTCGCAGAGTAGACGAAAGGTTAGCAAGTCGACGTGTAACTGCTATATCTCCTGCAAAATTTATTTTCCAGATCTACGAGGATTACAACGAAAGGAACGTGACCAAATTGCAAATGGTCCTCTTCAATGACGCACTCGAACACCTGACTAGAGTGCATCGTGCACTGAGAATGCACAGAGGACACGTTTTGGTCATCGGAATCGGAGGAAGTGGCAAGAGATCGGTGATCAAATTAGCAGCCTACGCAGCGACTTATCGAATGTTTGAGATTGGTCTGACCAGAGGCTACAACGAAGCCTCTTTTCACGAAGACATGAAGACCCTGTACAAAATGGTTGGCGTGGATAATAAGAGGATCGTGTTCCTATTCACGTCTTCTCACGTCATCGATGAAAGTTTCTTGGAACTGGTGAACAACATGCTGATGACTGGCATGGTACCGTCTCTCTTCTCCGACGAAGAGAAGGACGAAATAGTGAACTCTTGCAGGAATCAGTCTGTGGAGGCTGGATATGGCATCACCAGGTTCGGTTAGAAGTTTGCGTCGAATCTGTTGGCGAATAAAATACTGTACTCTATTTCAGGGAGAACGTATGGTCGTATTTCGCGAAAACTAGCCTTCAGAATTTAAGAATCGCGCTGTCGATGAGTCCATCAGGGGATGTATTAAGAACAAGGTGTCGAAGTTACCCTGGTCTAGTGAACAGTACTACCATAGACTGGATGTTCCCTTGGCCTGAACAGGCACTAGTTTCTGTGGCTAGCGTCACACTTAGAGACGTACGTAAATCTTGCATCGTTCCAGCTTAGAAGACCTTCAATCGCTCACTTTATCTTCGAGCTGAAGACTATACACTCTCTTCCAGAACCCAAACGTGTCGCAAAATTACATAGAACCCCTAGTAGAGCACATGGTCTTCACTCATAAAAACGTCTACGACTACACAATCGAGTTTCAGACGAAACTACGAAGGAAAAATTACGTGACACCTAAGCACTACCTAGACTTTATAGACAAGTACCTGAGTCTCTTGGTGGAGACCAGGGATTACATAAATTCCCAGTGCGATAGGCTTTCTGGAGGTTCGTAAAGCGATCTGTCGTTGATTCTTCGAAAGATGAAGTTGTTTCTTCTTCGTGGAAGAATGAGATCGTATTTTCTTGGATTTTAAAGGCCTGCAAAAGATCGCTGAAGCCTCTGTGACTCTGAACGAATTAAACGAGATTCTAGCCGTGCAAAGAGTAAAAGTGGCTGATCAGACGAGAAACTGCGAGCAGTTATTAGCCTCCATAGGAGAAAGTACGGATATCGCGATGGAAAAGAAACAGCTGAGCGAGCAGAAGAGACAAGAGATAGAGGAGCAGAGAAAGATCATCGACAAGGAGGAAACGGAAGCGAAACAAGCGTTGGCTGAGGCACAGCCAGCCTTGGATGCGGCCAGAGCAGCCCTTGGGGAACTCGATAAAGCCGATATCACCGAAATAAGGTTCGTTATCTCCTATTTTCTGCCAAAAATATATCAAAATTATAATAAAAACGTACGCTAAAAAATATTATACTCTGTCTTATATTTGTCAAATTACCGATTAAATGTCACAGAAATTGAGGTAGATTCTGTTATTGTCAGAAGGAAAATTGATTTCTCTTGAGATACTGGTTTTAACAGATCTCTAAATGTTCTGCTTCTGCGATAAATAAAACTGGGAATGGAAATTCGATTTCTTGAAGTATGAAGAGAAGAATATTACGGAATTATCAGGGTGCATTTTATTAGCGGAAATCAAAAATATTTCTAGATCCTTTGCAACCCCTCCCGAGCCCGTGCAAATCGTCTCGGAGTGCGTGGCTATGCTAAGAGGTGTCAAAGATATTTCCTGGAAAGGTGCAAAAGGGATGATGAGCGATCCAGCGTTCCTGAGAACCTTGCAAGAGATGAATTGCGACAAGATCACGCTGAAGCAGCAACAAGCAGTCCGGGCTCACTTGAAGAAGACTACCAAGCTGGATCAAATGCAGTTCATCAGCAAGGCTGGATTCGGATTATACAAATTCGTGCTCGCAGTGCTGGATTACTGCGCCGTCTTCAGAGAGGTATCTCTAATCAACGAAACGGAATAATCGCGTTCCACGATACTATCGCAATGAGACAAATCCCTAAACACCCTAACGAAGTCAAAGAAACCTTCGAAATCTGAATGAAACGATATAAATCTCTGAGACTTTACGTTTCAATTAACCCTTTGACTATCATGCTGAAATCACATGCTTCGCTCAGGACGCCACGGGAGTATTTTTATTATTCAAAGTATATAATGGCAAAATAATATAAAAATGGTGATATAAGACAACATTTTCACTCAATGCAGCATTTATCTTACTGATAGCCACCAATGACCACCGTGGCGTCACAGTAGAAACCGTATATGACCAACGTGGCAGTCAAGGTGAAGCGAAAAAATTTCCCACAATTGAGAATTTCGCAGGAATTTCATTCCATTCGAATTTTATTAGGTCAAGCCAAAGATAGACCGGGTGAAGGAGCTGGAAGCCGAATCGGAACGGGCTCGAAAGGCCCTGGAAAGGGAGGAAAGCGAATTGAGAAGGCTCGAGAAAGCCATTGCAGACCTGAACTCGAAATACGAGAACGCTATGGAAGAGAGACAGGAGCTGCAAGAAGAGACAGACTTACTTCAGAGGCGCCTGATAGCTGCTGATAAGCTCATTAACGGATTGTCCTCTGAGAACGAGCGATGGAAGAAGGAGCTGGAAAATCTGCATGGACAAATAGAGAAGATTATCGGGAATTGCCTGCTCTCTGCTGGATTCCTTGCATACTGTGGGCCGTTTACTTACGAATATAGAAATCAGATGTTATATGAGGATTGGTGGAACAGCATAGCGAAGAAAGGCATTCCTTTCACGGATACGTTCAGGATTGAGACGGAGCTGAGCAACGACGTTGAGATTAGCACGTAAGATATTCTCGTTTCGCCTGTTGCTAGTTCCTAATTCTATTTTATAACTAAAAGAAGGAAAATTTGATAAAAATTCCAAGAAAATTGGGATTTATTTCAGATGGACATCCGAAGGTTTGCCACCGGATGAACTGTCCGTGCAAAATGGAATTCTGACCACGAGAGCTTCCAGGTTCCCCATTTGCATCGATCCTCAGCAGCAAGCTCTGAATTGGATCAAGAAAAGGGAACAGAAGAAGAATCTGAAAATCCTATTCTTCTCCGATTTAGACTTCTTGAAGCAAGTGGAACTCGCGATAAAGTACGGTCTACCAGTTCTGTTTCAGGACGTCGACGAAGTTGATCCCGTTCTGGATAACGTTCTATCGAAGAACGTACAAAGTACGCGAGTAACCTGACTTTGCATCTAGGTAAATCAAGTAGACAGATATCGAAGATGAAATTTTATTACAGCTGTGGGAGGTAGAATGTTCGTTCTCCTCGGTGATAAGGAAGTGGACTATGATCCGAAATTCCGGATGTACCTCACCACGAAGATGTCCAATCCCATTTTCGACCCTGCTGTATATGCAAAAGCCACTGTGATTAATTATATGGTGACCATAGGGGTACGTTTTCCAATTTTTATAACGAAATCGCGAGTTTAACTCAGTATTAACCCTTTGCGGACGACAGCCACATATATGCGTTCGATGAAAATCATCAGTTGGGTCGAGGGACTCATAAATGTGTCCCACATAAACGCGTTGCTAGGGTTGAGAAATACATATATGTAGGAATGTAAATGAGGAACGCTCTTTTATTAGAGTAGAGTGTCTTCGCCTGAAAATCAGGTCTAGAGGACTCGTTGGATTTAAAACGGGTTTAAAAGGACCCGTTCTGGAGGGCAGAGTTAGTTACTAAGGAGTTACTAGGCAATTACGAAGTTGGTTATTAAGTAGTTGTCAGAGTAGTCGTCAGGTCAGTGTGCGAAGAGATAGAGTTATTTTGTAGGAAAATAGAGCCAATAAAGAAAATTCCTATATATATGCGTCGACTGTTGCGACCCTAGGACCGCACGTCCCAAGTTAAATGGTGGACCTTTATGTCCTTTATGTCCTTACTGCCAGCGTCGCTATGAACGAAAATCGCGTTTAACACGTTAATTGCCACGTCGGTGCCCAGAGACCGGCACTAGACTTTCCGTTCGGGCCCGGCCGGTCCTCAGGAACTGGCCCGGACTAGGACCAAAAGCTGCTAACTTTTGGTGTTAAATTCTTCGCCATCTTTGGACCTAACGTTTGGGAATTCCTGTTATGACAATTGTTACAGTATCTCTGGTGCTGATGAACACTGGTAGTTTTGAATGACTATCGCAGCAGCGACTCGGTCTCACGGTACAGTTTACTCAAAACCACTTCGTCCACAAAGGGTTAATCTAAGAGATATTACTCTAGTCCTCCTTCCTCTAAGAACCTTTCCTTCGAGCCAGAAAACAGCATAGATAACTTGGAGAACACTCTAGATAAAATAGAGGAAGATGCACGAAAATTTGGTTATGAACGGAAATTAAACGGACTAAAACATTCCAGGGATTGGAGGACCAATTGTTATCGGTGGTGGTCCGAACAGAGAGGCCAGACATCGAGGAGCAACGCGAAAACCTGATCGCGGAGACCAGCGAGAACAAGAACCTTCTGCAAGAATTAGAAAACAGTTTACTCCGCGAAATCGCGACGAATAAGGGCAACATGCTGGACAACATCGAGCTGATCGAAACTCTGGAGAGCACAAAGTCCAGTGCCGAGCAAGTGATGAGGAAGCTATACCTCGCGGAAGTCACTGCTGCTGATGTGAACAAGCTTCGAGATGGCTACCGATCAGTGGCAAAGAGAGGAGCGATATTGTTCTTCGTTTTGGCAGACATGTCCATGGTCAACTCGATGTACCAATACTCGCTGACCAGCTACGTGGAGGTGTTCATTTACTCGCTGAGGAAGGCACTTCCGGACCCAACGCTGCAACGTCGGCTGCAGAATATTATACCGGTGCTGACGAAAAACGTGTACGATTATGGTTGCACGGGAATCTTCGAGAGACATAAATTATTGTTTTCCTTCGAAATTTGTACGAAATTGGAGGAGAGTTTGGGGAACGTGAGCCAACAACAGTTGGATTTCTTCATTAAAGGATGCATCGCTTTAGAGAAATCGCCTAAAATTAATCCTACCGAATGGTTACCCGCGACTGGATGGGCGGATTTGTTGAAGCTGAGCAACGATTTTCCGGAAAAGTTTGGAAATATCACGGAAGAACTGAATACACACATGGACAAGTGGCAAGAGGTAGAAGAAAATACAATTTTATTCCTGATACTGAAAATTCAAATTACCACGATCCTCTAGTAAAATAATTCTATGTAGTAATAGTAATTATTATTCGTTATTTTGTTCACGGATAAGAAACGGATAAAAAATAAAATACGAAAGTATGAATAAATTATTTAATCGAAATTTTTCAGTGGTACGACATGGACGTTCCAGAATCAGCGGAGCTTCCCTTGGACTACTCTAATAAATTGAATCCCTTCGAACAACTCATGCTAATCCGATGCTTCCGTGTCGATCGAGTTTATCGAAGTATCATCAATTACATCAGCGAAACCATGGGAGAAGAATACATCACCCCTCCCCACATTAGTCTCGAGCTAATTTTCGAACAGAGCACGCCAACGATGCCTGTCGTTTTCATCTTAAGTCCTGGATCCGATCCATCCTCGGAGCTAATGAAGTTAGCAGACAGATACGGCTGTGGAGGCGGGAAATTTAAATATTTATCACTTGGACAGGGCCAGGAAAAGGTAGATCATCGTTCTTCATCGTTCGATTAACGTGGAATTCCTATATGAATAAATTTATGGTCTTTCAGACTGCTATAGAGTTGTTAGAGGTGGCAGTGTCCAGAGGACAATGGTTGATGTTCCAAAATTGCCATTTACTGCTGAGTTTCAGCAGAGAATTGGAGAAATTATTGGAGAACGTTGGGATACCTCATCCAGACTTCCGATTGTGGCTCACAACTGACCCGACTCCCAATTTCCCCATTGGAATATTGCAGCAGGCACTGAAAGGTTATTTCCAACTGAAGAAATTCTTCGTAATTCGTAACGACTGGATGGAAAAATTCTCACGAAAAAGTTTATAATTTTTAGTGGTCACGGAACCACCCAGTGGTCTGAAGCTAAATCTCGAAAATACTTATTTAAAAATGAGACCGCAAGTGCTCGAAAGTTGCGCACACACCGCCTACAAACACCTAGTCTACGTATTGGCCTTCTACCACGCGGTTGTCCAAGTGAGTTACGCTATAATTGAATCATCGTATTACGATGAGATGGTTCATTGGAACGTAATCGATAGGAAAGAAGGAGATACGACAAGATTGGCTGGAACATAAACTATGACTTCAACGAGTCGGACTTTAACGTGTGCACCACTATCCTGGACACTTATCTGACCAAAGCACTTCTGGCAAATGATACCAGAATTCCTTGGAACAGCTTGAAGTACCTCATAGGAGAAGTACGTTTCGTTTTCTTAGGAACCTAATTTTTCACCGTACCACGGTGTTAGATCTCGATTCTAAACTCATAAATTTAAATTACATAAATTGACTCGAAGCAATTTTATACAGGAGACTATTCCCAACTCTCTCACCTTTAGACGTTTACCTTTGAAATTCGTAAATTTCCGTTCTATGCAATAAATCTGAGGAAATTGGAGTTCTTAAGATCTCAGTGTCGAATTGAGGCTATCCTAAGAATTCTTCTAACGCGTTTCCTCCAAAGTGAAACTCGGAGATCTATTATTTTACCAAACCGACGTAGGTAATGTATGGTGGACGAGTGATTGACAGCTACGATCGTCGAGTATCTGAAACCTACATGGACGAGTACTTCGGAGACTTCCTTTTCGACAGCTTCCAACCTTTCCACTTCTACCGTGATGAACACGTCGATTACGTGGTACCACCGGAAGGGGAGCGTGACGATTATCTGGAGTTCATCAGGGAACTGCCACTGGTGAACAGTCCAGAGGTCTTTGGATTGCATCCAAATGCCGAAATTGGCTACTTCACTCAGGCAGCGAAAGAAATGTGGAGCAATCTCATAGAACTGCAGCCACAGACTGGTAAGCACGTAACAAGGCTACGTTGATAATAGGACTAATCAATTTCTCTCCCCAACGATCTCCCCAACGATCTCCCCCGATTCCATTTTCCAATTTATTAAGCTTCTATCGCGATACAAAAATTTATTTGTCCCTAGTACGCTTGGACAAGAAGAGTAAGCCTTTTCTGCCTTTATAAATTACTCTCCTCTGCTTCCGTTCGAATCGATCAGAGAATTATTTCGCTTTTTAGAAGTCAGCCGGACTGGAATAAGCAAAGACGAATTTATCGACAACATCGCGAAGGATATTCTGAATAAAGTCCCTGCCGAGTACGATCTTCATAAAGTGAGGAAAAATTTTGGGCCCCTCATAACTCCAATCACGATTGTTCTTTTTCAAGAATTGGAGAGGTTTAATAAATTAATTTACACGATGAAGAGGACTTTGACGCAGTTGAGGAAGGTCTGTATCTTTGTTTTGTCGAAAATCGGTATATCGTAGGAATATTTTTAAACAGCACTGAAAAATATTTTTATACATTGTCAGGCTATTGCTGGAGAGATTGGAATGGACACGACTCTTGAAAATATATCCGCGGCATTGTACAATGGTGTTTTGCCGCAAGAATGGGCCAGACTAGCACCAGACACCAGGAAAACCCTAGCTGGTTGGATAGACCATTTCGAGAAGAGGATACAACAGTACACTAACTGGGTAAGACATTGGAATCAAACTGCAATTCACGATTCGCTGATTTTTTAAATGGACCTATAAATATTTCATGGAATTCTAATTTTTCTTCGCTAAAATTCACTCTATAGAGATTTTAGTTTAGGGGGTTAGTTCTTTCATTTCACTTGTGTTCCTTTCATTTTACTGTGTTATGTAGCAAGCAGAAGGAACGAAAGAAAGGATGTGTTTTATCCTGGGTCTGCTAGTAGACTCGTCAGTAAGGCTACCTAGCAGACCCTGCCTTAGACTTAGACTTAGAGGGATACTTAGATAGTATAGGAAGATTCACCGAGGACTCACGAAAAACCTCGAACCTCTATTTCCCGTCTAGCCGCAAGGGTGCTACATAATTTTGCGATTTTCAGAAATTTTCACATCACCATTGACGATTCATTTTATAAATTCTAATGTTTCGTATTAGAATTCTTTAAGAAAATATTATTTCTATTATTCTAACCTTTCTAAAATTCTTAGTCTTCTGCAAGCGAGCCTATAGTTCTCTGGCTAGCCGGCCTGCACATCCCAGAGACTTATCTAGCAGCTTTGGTGCAAATGGCTTGTCGTAGAAACAGTTGGTCTTTGGATCGTTCTCTGACATACACAGCAGTGTCGAGGTACACCAAACCTGAGCTTATAGAGGAGAGACCCGATGAGGTACGCAATAATTCTTAAACGAGTTTTACTTGTAATTAAATTCGTTTAAAGATAAATAATTAAATTAAGGGCTGCTACGTAAGTGGATTATACTTGGAAGGAGCCAGATGGGATCTGGAGGAACAGTGTCTGATAAGATCGCACCCAAAGATCCTAATAGAAGAATTACCAATACTCGTCATTATCCCTGTTGAGGCTCACAGGCTCAGACTTCAGGTATGGGATCAACTTAATTTGATTAAGGTTCATTGAAATTATTCAGACAATTAACATACGTATTCACGAATTATAGAACACGTTTAAAACTCCGGTTTATACAACGTCCAATCGGAGGGACGCTATGGGAGTTGGTTTAGTTTTCGAGGCGAACCTCGCCACCACGGAACACATTTCTCATTGGGTGTTACAAGGAGTCTGTCTAGTACTAAATACGGATTAAATAGTATTATGGAATTATAGCGTTAATAATTATCTCATAGAGCAAACGATATAAAAATATCATGTACAGTAAACATCTTTCCAAGTATCATATATTAAAGAACGACTTCAAAAACATCCACCACTGTATTATATTTAAACAACTTTGTAATACACGAGAAAACTTACAAATGATGCAGATGTATTTACATATACATATATACAGAAGATCATTTATTACCACTTATAAATTTGATTTGAGGCATACAGAGATTGTAAAAGGAACTGCCGACGAAATTATTCAAATTTTGCCATTTCACCCAATGGTAATTCTCCAGTTGCTCGGTTCCTCGTGCCCTGCCGACGAAATGCGGATCCACGATCAACAAATAGGTGTTCGTTGTGCCCTCGTGGATCCCCAACACGCATTTGCTGGAGCAATCCCTGTCCCCTCCCATCATGATCGGGCTACCGAATTCCTCGAAGTGGGCCTTAATAATGGGAACCTGGTCCCGCAAGGCTGTGCCACTTGGAACGTGTATAATTTTACTGAGAACCTCGTACAAATGATTCAACACTAGGCATACCTACGAGATACTCGAAATCAGCTTGTTTACATGTATTATATTTCGTATAAGAGTATTTATTGCTTATCGAGCGTATCGCGAATCTTAGCATTCTTCGTGTATCGCTGTGCTAATTAAAGTAGTGTTTCGAAATTTATGGTAATTGGCGATTGTACGATACTCTTCGATGCTACAAAATGTATCAGAAATCTCAGTACGGAAAGAAGGTTGCTCAAATAAACATGAGTGGAAGTTGTAGAATAAAATTCTAATTACTTGTCCAGCGTGTTTATGCAAATGAAAGGTAAGTCGTATACGTGTCTATTTAGATGAACATTCAGCCCGAATGACAATGTCTTGTTTCGTATTTTTATATTAGTAGATCAGAATTTTTGATACACCCTGTATAAAGCTATCTTTCGGGAAAACGTTTCGATATCTTTCCGCAGAAATTGCTTACTTCGAAACTCCCTATCCATTCTCTCGAGCCGATAAATGATTGCTCTTTATCATCCAGCGTGACGAGCACTTCTTGTATCCGTCTGATATGAGGCACAGGTTGGCCTAAATTCCGGTTCCTTATAACCCACGAGCATATCGTTTGCAGCGTCCTGTATCCGCAACCCCAACCCTAAATCCAACATATCGTTTTTCTCCCTTCTCCGTGGTTATTTAAAAACGAAAATGGAAAAATGAATAAAAATCAGTGACAAACCTTATCGTTAAAACCATCGCAACCATAATGCCAATATTCGTAATCCCCTCTAACCAAGAAACTCTGACCAACTTCCGGCACAGGGATATCCCGATGTACGTTTCTCAATAAATCACTGGAATAATCCACGGTCATCCTGGTCTTGTAAAAATGGTCGAACAATTACCGTTCCTTTCTATCCACCGAGCCGTGTAAATCCACTCTACTTTCGCGTCTGTCGTAACTGTCTCGAAAAAGCCTAAACAGAGCGTGGGTCGTACGCAATGGCAAATAGAGCGCGAAGCTTCATATTTCCCGGTTTAGCGGTGATTCGCGGCCATTCCGCGTATTTTTCCTTCAACACCTAACCTATCCAACTGGCTCGCTCGCCGTCATCGTCGTAATAATGATTCAGTGAAAGCGTCTGCCGAGCGAGGAAGCCTTTCATAATCTACGCGTCTGTATCGTGGTTGAAAAGTCGTTGTTCGCAGTAGAGAACACAGCGCAGCCTTTATGATAGGCGTTAAATCGTGGCGTCACCTGGAAACACCTCCTCTCGGTCTGCTATCGTCGTTCTCGTCGTGCGAACGAATACTTGATAGAGACGTCAAAGCACGTACGCAGTCACGCGCATTTCGTTACGCGTTCCTCTTACTGGTTATCAAGTATACGTTGCTCGGTGGCTCGGTGTGGCGTTACAGCCAACGAAAAAAAGAGAGGGACAGAGCGATCAGCGTGAAGCTGATCGACAGAATGGACACTGGGGTCTCATAGCAAAATGCCAATCGGGCCAGACGAGTGTATACGGATAAGGCAAACGGACAAATAAGTGGGCGAAACAACGGAAAAAAACTGCGCGAAATATAGACGGGAAATATAAGTTGAAGACAGTGGGGATCAGAAGGCAAATTACGATTTTATTTGGGGGCAAGATGAGAACGGTAATTTTATGCACCTAATGGGTAAGTCACGCAAATCTTGTCACGACTCTTATTAAATTAGCGTTAATCGATTCGAACGCTGAAATCACATGATTTATCGCGATGGCATTGTCGATTTGACAGCTACACACAATAGGCTTACCGCTTATCGATTTTCCGCCGATTAAACGGCCAAGATTTTCGTTTATTTCGCGGAAATGGCTTCGGGATTGATTTAATGTTTGTATATTATTATTTGGATCAATCATCGCTTTCTAACGAGTCTGAAGGTCGTTACTCGGGAATACTGCCAAGTATTTTAGGTTATGTTTATTATGTCACCTTAATTAGCGAACGATGCTTTTACGATGATTCCATCGAACGCTCCGTACATGTGGATAAACGTCTTCCGATTATATCTTTCTTAACGGATAAATAAGGATTGTACGATTCCAGATACATTATGCATTTTTATGTTAATACCAATTATCGTCTAGCTTAAGCTAGAATGACATATGCTGTCGCTTTTTTGTTTACCAGTGTAAAGTTCAGAGATGGTTCTAATATAAAGTGTGCAAGAAAGCGAGAAATATGTATGGTGCGGTACGTGAAGAAGTCTCAGAAAGTTGGTATGATTTGAGCAGTACGATGATTCCTAATGTTAGTTCACCGATGAACGATGAAGAGCACTTTTGCAAGTTCATCTTGTACAAAGAAATTAAAGACACGAGGTAAGCATTGTTTTAAGAATAGCTGGATAGATCTCGTGGACCAATTTATTTTTTGTTTTCCAGAGTACGAATATGGGATATCGTCATATTGGTACCGAATCTCTTGTTTCTTTTATTCATCACAGTGAGATTTAATAGAGCACGGCTTAAATTACGAGCAACGAGTAGTCCAATATTTTTAGCATTTTACGTACTTGTCATTTGTAATGTAGTAATTTCAGTGATAAGATGTATCGTTTCGATGACTGTAAATGCAGCTACCACTGTTGGTGGTATCGCAGACAAAATACTGTGGGTAACAGTGAGATTTTTCCTGTTATCCACAGAAATGAGCGTGGTTATATTTGGTTTGGCTTTTGGTGAGTTGATTTCGTTTTCGTTATTTAAATCCGCTTGTTAAAAACTCAGAATATATGTCTGTTTATTTGTAGGACATTTGGATAGTCGCTCAAGTATTCGTAGGGTAGTACTTGCAACGTCGTCAATAGCATTGGCTTTTACCATAACTCAAGGAACCTTGGAGTTAATTTTACCAGACGATACATTCCTTATTCCCAGTAGAAATTTTTATGTGTTTGGTCACGGGGGAATGATGTTTTGGTTTTGCAGCAGTCTCGTTTTCACTATGGTAATATTTATAATGGCGGTAAACATCGATACGATTCGTTGTAAACAATGCTAGTGCACTTACTGTAATTTTGTTACAGATATATCTTTTTATATTAATACTGCCATGGACACGGTTACGAGACCGTTTAACCCTTCCAAGTATGTTGAACGACACGACATATTCGGTACTTTATATCAATTTACGTGTTACAAGGTATCCTTTGTTACAGCAAAAAAATGTTTTTACGTATATGCTGGTACATTAGCCATGCTAGACTTAGTACAATCAATTGGTGCAGGCTTTTTAAACTATACGCAAAGTCCTGTAGGATTATGTGTCGTCGATATCACTACAGCGGTTTATTTGACTCTTTTTACACCTTTGGTTTATCACACATTCCTGTCTGAATTCTTTGGGTAAGTCTGCTACTGCTACCGAGAACGATTTTATATCCTGAAAACATGTACAACAAACGAGAAATTTTGTTACAGAGTGTCGCAACCTTCGATAATGTTCTCGTACAAGGCACAAGTAGACGATGCAATGGACGAAGACACGGTATCGTTGCCACATCAACAGAGCTTCTCCTCGTTAAGAACAGACAGCGATTATATTTATCAGGTCCATGCTCCATCTATTCACATGCCCTTGTATGGCCCGCAAGCGTTAAAATTATTTCCATCAGCGCATAAAACCTCTTTACGCTCCTTAGCATCCATCAAAGATTCTAAAAGTGGTAGCGGACACACTTATGACTCCTCGGGTGTTTCGTACCAATCCACATCGGGCATTAAAAGTTCCACCAGACGTCTGAGCGCAGAGAAAAGCATTTTTGATTTCAAGAACTATCCTTTAACGAAATCCGACAATTTTATCGACTCTAAAAGTTTGTTTGATCTACGGTATCCTCGCAATGTCTGGAAGAGCCGGTCTACGTCGCATTTCAAATACGGTGAACCTAGTAACATCACGAATTTGCCTTTCTCGCCAAGCACCGCTAGTAGCTTCCTGTATAAACCCGGGGAGAACGATAGCAGCATAAACTTGTTCTCACCGACGAGGAAAGGTAGCCTGGTACACGAGCGAAAACGGTCGGACGGGAACATATCCAGCCAGTATTTCGAAATTCCACCGCTAGAAAAGCTACAGTCGATTCTCGATAACAGCATGAACAGTTCCGAAGCGAAATATAGCACGCCTAGCGAAGAGACTTTGAGGAAAGATAGCACAATCGCACAAGCTTTACAAAATATAGAAAGTAAAGAATCGAGTCCTTTGAAGCGATACAGTGACACCGAAATGTCTGAAATCGATGTCGAAGATACGTTATCCGATTCAACGGATAATTCAAATGTTACGCAACAGTTATTGTTCAAAACTGACTCTTCGACGAGCGAAGAGATGTTTAGAAAACGAAAGAAGAAAGACACAACCGTAAAAGAGCCCGGTGGACTGAGCGATTACTTACTGTCTCTGACAATTCCGAGCACACAAAGAGACGAGAAAAGTACCGAGACAGATCCTAGTCCTTCTCCCTCCCGACACGCTAAATCTTACATGCAGACTGAATCGTTGTAAATATTCGTTATATTAATCCGTGTAAGGTCTAAGTCATTACGTGTAGTTGTATATAAGAGAATTTTTATCTTTTAAACTCGATTCATTTCTTAATTAAATAATAGTGAAGTCCCGTTCTCGGATGAAGAAATCACAACGCGTCTTTTGCGTTGCTTCATTAAATAACTACATAGATGTATCATAGTGTAAAATAGAAAAGCGCACAAAATGCTTTATTATCTGTACATATACAGCATGTCTAGATTTAATTAAACTCATTAATGTAGCTGACGCACTTGGTTTTATTTATTTACACTAACTTGGCAGAGGATAACGCTAACATTTTTGTTTTGTGTTGCAATCGGTACGACCCTCACACCAATCACGATCAACCGCTTTCTTTTATTTCCAAAAAGAATAGAGAAATATTTTGCACCCAGCTTGGAAATTGTACGCGTGCAAGCAACAGTGGAAACTTCAACTATATAGTTGCCTTTGCACGAGACCAAATCTTTGTCAAAGAAAAACACACGAATCTGGACTCTTTCCGCAACAAAATTTCTACTCTTCCTATGTTCTGTATAACCGCACAAATAATTGGAAAAAAAAGAATGAAATCGTTCAAAGGAGCTATATATCGTCCGCTACCATTTCTCACATCTTTGCTAAAGAGTGCAACGAGAACTGTTCTTTTGTTCACAGAACCACAGTGTCTATGACTCGACCCAATTCGACACAAACTCCACACCAGTAAATCCACTTTACGCGGCGTCTCTGCAGAGTCCGGATAGCATAACCGGTTACAGTATAGACAGTCAAGAAGGCCAAGCCCAGGCGAACGGCTATCAACAATGAACGAGCTGATCGTGCCTGACGTGACTCGATTTGTACAGTCACGAACATGGATGCAACGATTAGTTGAACGATCGAGTTAACTTTTCACTGAAAATGAACTACTGCGTGAAATCCACTGAAAAACGTGTTCCATCGTTCGATTCTCCCCTCAGAATAACGAAACCAGAATGAAGGATCCCTGTACGATTCCGCTGAAAGAATCTAGTCGCTACGAACGTTTCTAGAGCAGTGCAACGTCAATGAAACACTTTCCATTTCATTTGTTTTGTTTGTCTTTGTGATAGAATCGAGATGACGATAGTCGCGATCCCGAGCTGTTTTAAAAGGACGTTGAGTTCTCTGTTTTCCCTAACAGGCTGACAGAATTGCCTTGCAACTTCATCGATTAGAGGATTCGTTTGATCAGGAAAAATTGTTAGACGATGTTCGAAGAAGGATTTCATAGCGGCGTTATCGAAATGGTCAGCGAGCTGCTAATTTCTCGACAGATTTCATCGGTTGAATTTAATCTCCGACAACTTGCTTATCGTTTCTCCGTCCTCTTCACCAAAGACAGGCCTTCCTTGGTCTCTATAACTCTCGCGGAAGATCTGAGCACGATCCGCGGCGAATATCCCTCGCTATTTTCCTACTTTTGCAATTAAGGAAGCATTTTACGAACGACGAGCAAGGACAATATATAAAAGAATGGTTCCCGAGGCGAGCGCGTGCTCGTGAGAATCGAAACATAAAACTTAGAGTTTAAGGGGAACTCCTCGATGCTCCGCTGAAACTATTTACGGAAGACTCCATCCATCGTGTAATATGTATATATACCCTGTATTCTAGTGTAAAGGGTCGTGCTATTTATATACTAATATATGTATATATATATATATTATATAAATATATATATATACACATATACATAACGTTATATTTATCGATATTGTATGTCCGTACTCGTGAACATGCTAGTTCCGACAGAGCCGCGTCGGGCACGACTAAATTCGTCTGCCTTTTTTCCAATATGATACGTAAATACGAATCATTCGAAACCAGTGGCGATAAGTGATTGATTTTACGATGATTAACACCCTCGGAATTCTATTTAATAAGAGAATTACGCGTAACCGTCGGCGCATCGACACTTCGAAGCATCCCCAAAGGATTCCTTTTGATCTTTTCTCACCCTCGTAGATCTGATAATAC